GTGCTGGACGCACGCGATGACCTACCAGACATGAAGGGGCATTCGTGGACGCGCCCTGGACACCGCTTGAGGGCCGCGAGACGAGGGTCATGCCGCCGCGAGGATGCCGCCCGTGGAGCCTATCGGACATGTCTCGGACACGTCATGGACAAGTCCTGGGTGCACCGCAAAACCTCCGCCCGTGGAGCCGTTGATGAGGAAGTGGGTGCTACGGGCGCCAAAGGCCTCGCTCGCCAGCTGCTGTGCCTCGTGGATCGGGCCCTCCGCCGAGAAGAGGTTGTCCAGCTCCGGAAGCTCCGGCAAGTCGGACCGCAGCGGAGCTGTTCGGCCGGCGGCACCGCCCAGGACCGCCTCTCGCAGCGGCGCCGGCGCGCCCTCGCCCATCTTGTGGCCAGGGAAGAAGAAGGGCGCGCGGACGGACTGGGAGGCCCGCTGTATCGCGTCGATGAGCGGCGTGTCTGACTGTGAGAGCATGCGTCCAGTCTCTGAGTCGGTTTGCTGTTGTCGTTGCTGCTGTTGTTGCTGCTGCTGCTGCTCCTGCTGCTGCACGACACCGCTCAGCAGGGTCGTGCGACTCCTTGTCGACAACGCCGCAGCGTGCCAGCCGGAAAGCACGGACAGCAACATCATCGGGCCTGGCCCGAGGGCGAGGTATGGAGCCGCGAGCACCCAAGCCGGAAAACCGCCCTCGCCGCCGGCCGCTCATTCACCAGACCGTTTTGAGTAACCGGGGAACCCGCCGGTGGGATCTCTTTCCACCCAAGAAGCCCGTTTGGAGGGATGGGCGGCAGTGTGCGGGCGGTGAGTGCTAGTCCTCTCATCAATTTAGAACGAAACGCCCCTCGGCCCTCCCTTCTTCCCTCTACTAGCTGAGGGGCTCGCTAAACGCTCGCCGAGCTCCATGCTGTGCAACACCACCTCCTCACTAATCGTCAGGGGCGCGGAGAGCGCAGTGCACTACGGTGAGGCTGCGCAGCGGGGGCTCGCCCCCTGCACCGCGCCGTCAGCGGCGTAGGGGAGAGGGCGGTCGGTGGCGGCGGCGGCGAGGCGCGAGGCGGTGGCGGCGGTGGTGCGGGCGGCGGGATGACAGGGGAGGCGGCGGGATTGACAGGGGAGGCGGCGGCCACGCTCGAGCGGAGCGGCGCGAGAAGGGGGGGGGGGGCGGCGAGGCGCCGGTGAGCGAGGCGCCCGCGCCATCAGAGGGACGCCGCCGCGAGATGGAGGGCGGCGGTGACGGAGGCGAGGGGCGAGGCGGCGGCGGTGGCGGCGGCGGCGAGAACGGCGGCACCGAGTTTGTCTCGGTGAGCGGAGCGGCGGCGGGAGGAGGAGCAGCGGCGGCGCTCGCTCGCTGTTGACGGGAGCGCTTTTGAGCCTGGGAGCCCATGCCACTGCGACCGGCGTGGCCGGGAACGGAGATCGCGCGCGCGCCGCCACTCACGACGCGCGCGCGATCTTCGCGGAGTCGGGTCCCCAGAGGGAAGCGGTCTTCTCGGCCGACGTCCAGCGGCGCGCAAGGAAGCAGGCGCAGCGGAGGCGGCCTAGCACCGGCTCGGCGCCGGGCGGTTGCGCTGCCCGCGAGCCGCGTCCTGAGCCTCGGCAGCGCGCTGCGCGGCGCGGCGCTCGCGCCGCTGCGGTTCCGAGAGCGGCATGATGGTAGGACCAGCTGAAGCTCGAGACTCCTCGGTATCACGAATTGCGCAGGTCACGGGGATAAACGGCGGACAACGCGAGGCCCTTATATCTTTACTAGCTGAGGGGCTCGCTAAACGCTCGCCGAGCTCCATGCTGTGCAACACCACCTCCTTGAGCACTTGAGCAAGCACTGGATAGGGTCGGTTCCGCATGGTACGGGACCCCTCGATCGTCTCGCCCTCCCTCACTGGTGTGTTCCTTGGGAGGGGTCCTAACAAATACGGTACAGGATCGAGGTGCACGCTGCTGAGGGACCCCACAGAGGGTAGATCGAGCAGTGTCGTCCCCCCTCTCCATCATCTCCCTGGGAGACGTCGGCGGCGATGGCGGTGTGACCGATCGAGCTACAAGAGGAGCTTGTTCAGCAGGATCCGGGATAGTCAGATGCACTACCTCACTGGGCCTGAGATCACTCGACGCCTCCCGTCACCGTCTCGGATTTGCGTGGGATCGAACCACTCCGGGATGGGCAAGCCCATCATTCTGAGTTGTGCCTG